ATCATCTGGTGTAGGTTACACGCACAAAGTCCCTACAACTTGTATCCATCATACCAAACATGTGTTGAAGGTTGGCAAGTCTGGACATAAATCTTACTTTAACATTGACTATTGGATACTGACTTAGATATCCCAACTATATAGACCAGTGCTCACCAATTTTGTTTTCTAAAAAAAGAGCATGGAATTTTTTTTTCTTATTGTAAATGACATTGCCAAGAAATAAATAAGAAGATAGTTGTGTGAGCCGTCATAGAATGCGTTAGTGTCTAAAAATAAATTTTCTTCTTTGTTTATGTTGCTGAGGTTGTTGATGGGTAGTAACAGTTTTAGTAGCTACAGCTATCCATCTGTTTGACTTGGTGAAAAAGTTCGTGAATTCAACAGAAATCAGTACTTTACATGAGCACAATATGTCGGTGGCTCATATCAAATACGACGATTTTGAAAAAAGAAACTGGAGATAACTATAACATAAGGATGGAATGTTTAGATGGCAGTTCACATGGAGGTAGAAGTTATTCGCAAATTGTAATAAAAAGCCAACTCAAAGTTAAGTATTTATGTAGAACTATTTTGTTTGCATTGATACGTGGTTTAAATTTAGTGTGTAAAGAATTTAAAAAGATAATTATTTCTCTCATTACTACTAGCGTCGAGTGCATCGTGGTAATGAAAGTAATGAGCAAATAATTGTGGCTTTTACAGTACTAATCGTTAGAGTCGGACTGTTGTGACGGCACAGAAACAGTATACAGGCACAGAGGTAAAATATTGTGCTTTTTGCCGGGCCCTAGTATGAGGCTGTGAGGAAACCTAAACATGATTGCAATGTTTTGGGGTTTAAAAACTGTTAACTATAATGTTATTTATATTTTACAAGCATTACTTCCAATCCTTCAAAATTTCAAAATCGTTATAGTTAATTTGTATACTAAACTTTTTAGTTTGTCAAAATTCAAGGAAAGTGAAGTTTAGGAGAAGAATATGTGAAACTGATAGTATCGTTTTTAATTGAATCATTTTCAAACGGTTTTTTTTCAGAAACTATGTGTTAGAACATTTTTGGTATAAAAATAACTAATGTTAGGACAGTAACGGTATGGACTATAAACATAAACAAATGACGTCACTGGCCTTAATGCCTAATAGATTTAACAGCTGATTTGACAGTTCCAGTCACATATTAATAAAATCCTGTTTACTTTCGTGCTAGTAGCAATATTTTTTTTTTCATGATCCATACCGTTTTTGTTTCAATATTCTTTAAAATAATCCTAGTAATACGAATTCGACATTTAGGGAGCGAAACCCTAATAGAATATTTGTTCCTGACTATCACTTTTTTGGAGTAAAACCTCAACGCATACCAGGGAAAAATTATCAATTTTGTAATACAATGATCAAGACTACACTTAACAAAACTGGTTTCATAATTAAAATTCAATGTTTCAAAATAAAAATCTCATGGCCCAGGCTGCAATTGTAAACAAGACCAATGAAATTCACTTGTTAAAAATGCATTACCCTTGCGACACTCCGAATTTGAAACCACCTCTACAACCAGGCTTCGGGCCGAGTGTAATGGGTTATTAAATCAACATTTCTAATAATCGATCAACGTCAAACGGGTTATTGCGATAGAACTTATATCTATCCAAACATTTGTTCCTCAACTGACCTTTGCAGAGGAAGCCAGGCCAGTTATTTATGTGGTTGCTTAACCGAGATATGTTGGACTGTAACATATCCTAATAATGTGGGGATAACGATGGCGTTGCTATCTCTACCAACTAAATTGGCAAGACTGTTTGTTATATTTTCACATTGTGAGAACTATTTGTTTAAATTTCGGGTTGGATTTGATCCTAAACGATATTTTTGGGGTCAACTAGTGTGCGAAGTGGCACAGTGCAGCAAAGGCATTTTGCGCTCGAGTTATACATTTAATTTGTCCTACAGTTACTGTAATGCATTAGTCGTTTAACGTTAGGTTAAATCCAAGTGTTGAACGAAAATAGAATGTTAACATGAAACAACAGGTCGTGGTATTAATACTTAAAGGCTGTAATGCGCACCATCTAATCGTAGTCGTAGTGTCTTTGAGTGTTGACAATTTATTTTCAAGCGTTCACATATTACGTATCTAAAAAAAGCAAACGGTTTTGTGTTGTTTGGAAAACTGGAGTGTGGCAAGGAAAAATGAGAGCGGCAAAGTAAAATGAATGCGAGAAAAGTAAGTAAATACGGCCAATCAGTGCAAGGAAGTCTGCTTTGTCAGGTCTCTGTAGGTAAACTTTACAACATGAAATTAAGTATTAAAAAAATAAGCAAAATTTGGATTTGTTTACGTAACCATAATTTTAATTTTTCAACGATACTTTGGTTTCAAATCAAATGTATACTCTTAAGTAGTTGGTTGATGATGTTTACCAATTTGACAAACCATCAATCGTAGACTTTTTTGCACAACATCTGAGTAACATTAAAACAACTACATTTAAAAATTTATGATTTGTTTCTACTATAACATGTGACAAAAGTGAACTTCCAACAAACACTCGCAAAATGAATCACTTCCAATAAAATAAATATTAACGAATAGAGATTGTTCAAGTTACGTATAGTAAATTATTTAATAATGTAAAACAACATTTTACGTCGCCTGGACTTGGCAAGGCGTCTCTCGTTGAGGTCCTAAACCACTTTCTTCCCCGCCCATAAAACTGTCACTGCGCAGCTCAATATCATCTTTATTGCCGTAGATTGGCCGAATTTATGTTGTCGCCCTACATTCCCAGCTGGTGCAATCAAAACTTAACCACCATTGCGGAAATGGTAGTTTATATGGCGAAAGCATATTTTGCCAAAGTTAAACAGTTGGTATGCGCATTTAATAACTAAGGATTGGATTTTTTCTGTTTTTTTTTCGGCATAATTATAATTTTTAATTTAACTTTTAGTATTGAATACCCCCACCGCAGCAAATCTGTCACCTAAGCGAATTTCCATTTGTCTAAAATGATGTTCAATTAAATGACATTTTATGATTAACGAGTACCTAGGTTAGCTGCTACAGGGGAACTTATTAAATGTGTTTTTCAGTAAGGTATTAATAGCTTAGTATAAATAAAATGAATTTGCCAAGTTTGATCAAAATATATCCTTAAACAAGCAAACTACACCATTTTAGAATATTCTCCATAAGAATAACATGGGAATTTTATTTTGAATTTTTTGAATTTCCTTTGTTACCAATAACTGCACCAAAACACTTTGATATGGTACTATGAAAGGGGTTTCATATGTATATATATATATATATATATATATATATATATATATATATAAGTTTATCTGTCTTAAGTTTTGCTAAAAGTTCTTAGGAACTAATCGGCAACCTCCTAACAATACTATTACAACCATTTTTACAAACAATAACTCCAACCCGTTTGGTTTTAAACACATAGTTATGTTTATTGATGTAACCAGAAGAATTCTAAATCCCAAAATCTATAACAGATTTACTGTGGTGACATATTCAATTTAATGTCAATACAACAAATGCAATGGGAAAATAATCTAAAAGTAGAGTTGTAAGAGCGAAAAGGCTCTCAGATGATTAGTAATAGAATGTGTATGTACAGTACTGAATAATATTCAGTACTGTACATACATATTATGTGATTATAATATGTCCGTAATTAAAATTAAAGATCAGTTTAACCGTTTATTCCCCAAAAATAAAGAAAAGCACATACAAAAATATAGTCAATACAAATACTAACACTAATTGACAGAATTCAACATAACTTCGATTATCAGAACCTGCTAAAATAATTTGTTTTCGTAAGTTACAAAAAAAAAAAAAAAAAAAAAAAAAAAAACACTCCTAGACCAGTAGCGAGGGCCTGGCATTAATGTGAGCTCAATAGACGGTAATAACAGACTGTCCATAGGTGGATACCGATACAACGATCAGAGTCGATCCCGGCGGTCTTGGGCCGTACATCACTGCGAGTGTTGGGGATAAATCATAGTGTGCGTCGCAACAACAATGGAAGTGGGCGTCGCGGCACTAGCGCACTCTAGCGGGCCCGGACGTCATTTAAATACCGCGATGTGAAGATTGAATCCATTGGAAACTGTGATGGTGTTGATCTGTAAAATATAGTTTCTGTGTGATTCCTTCCCGCTCAAAGTAATGTATCATTCTAATTTTTTGTGAACATTTATATTTTAAGAAACGGTAAACTTAAAAGATACTTTATCTTCGTTGAAGTTGAAATATGAAATAAAGTATTTTACCAGAATAATTTATGAAACTTTCTGATATGCCATAGGGTAATCGGAATACTGTGTAAGCTCTGGCAAAGAGGCAAATTCCTTTTTTATTCCTTTATTCCCGTATTGCATAGCAAATAAGAAGAAACAAAGGGGAAGACAGTAATACATAATACCCGATCAAAAATTCGTTTTTTTCACACTCTAATAAAGTGATCAGTTTTAACATTTTTAATAAAGAACAATTATTCAGGGCAATCTTCTGTTAATACCGACCGCACAAGGTTGTGTTAGGATAGGTTATGAAACCAAGTATTTTAAGTAAAGTATTGTATCGTTTGTGGATAAAACAAACAGAAAATTCATCATGTGGTCAGCATAACAGAAAAGTACTCAATTTTAAGTTGTTTGACTCAGAACCACCCTAAAAGGTAGCGAGGTCATAGAAATCTACTACCGGTGAGATACAAAGCCTGTGAGGATAACATAAATGTACAGTTGTGTTTAAATTAGGCCTACTTGAGGATCTTTTTATGTACTTAACTCCAATGTCCTTTGCAACTTATCTTCATTAACACAACCTTCAACAATGAGTCATTTTACTATAACAGAAGTGATTATAATTAATCACGTATATACTCTAATCATCATGATTACATGTGGGGAAGAGATGGATGTTGTACGGTATATCGTGTGTGGTAGAGGTGGCAGTCCTAGCTGCTGGCCGCGGTGTGTCAGTCTCAGAAGGCCCGACACCTCTGGCGGGGAGTCGCCCCAGTGTCAGTGCTGACACCACGGTTGTATATCGTGTGCGGTAGAGGTGGCAGTCCTAGCTGCTGGCCGCGGTGTGTCAGTCTCAGAAGGCCCGACACCTCTGGCGGGGAGACGCCCCAGTGTCAGTGTGTGACTGTGCGTGTGTGCGTCCATGTCGCGCAGTCCGGATATCGAGATCCTAGGAGAGGATAACAAAAGGTTCGTCTTCTCCTTCCGTCTCCAGGATCCTGATCAAGGTAGGAAAACTTGGGATTAGTTTGCTGACCGTCTTTAAGGGAAACAATAACGACTAGCTAATTAATTGTTATTGTTGTCAAAATTTTTCTTCATAGAGTTAATTTTCCAAATGTAACTTACAATAAATTTAAGAACGTTATAATATGAATAAAAAATCAACAAACTGAATTTATTGAGATCCTTTTTATTTACATCTTAAAGTTATCTTATAATTTGAACATCTTTTTTACAATATTAATTTTAATAAAATTACATTGTTTAATAGTATATTTCATACCTAGGGCCGAAAATTACGTTTTGCCGGCTCGAGATTTTTCAAGTTCGAGACGCAGTCGAGAACCTAAATTGATCGAGAGCTGCAAAACCTTTTCGGTCCGTGGTACGAACGCTATTTTTCACCACACCATACCCTATTACCACTATTCACCACTATATATAATAATGCACACTGGTAGTCAACACAACTACAACTTTAAGGTTATGTGAAGAAATAATTTGAGGAATCAGCAAAAATAAAAATAAATAGTTGCTAGGCAACGGTGACAATAACATAATTCTATTGCAATGCTATGGATTTTGATTGTGTATTTAATGCATTCATGTTTTAAGTAAGTAAGCGGAAATAGCTGACTTTACGGCCCCGGGCTGTAAAAACGTGGTCGGTCCCCAAATTACGATGACAGCTGGCATGGCCAGCAAAACTTAACTTCCAGCCACTAATCAACGTATGTAATACAGCCAAAAACATCATAGTGTGGTGAAAAAATATTTTAAAACATATGTCCACTACTAAATATAACAAATTTTTAATTTTAAATAATAACATCACTGTCGAGTAAGGAGGCCCATCAGTAAGTTAAATGTAAACTTCTTCTATATATTCATTTTAGCTAGGCCTTAAAAAACAGAAGTGGGAGACAAAATTAACAACCTTTGTATTTAAAATACATGCACACAATATGTTTATACGGATAACAAACATTCACTATACTTCTGGATTGATGTTTTACATATCTAGTACACTTTTGATGTGTTCATTATCTGATAATGTAGAAAAGGAATTTTTATTTGAGGAGTTTATAAATGACGCTGCAGTCTCACTTTAACGACAGAGATATGTTTTCTCGACTAAACCTTATGGTTAGTAACAGTGGCGATAGGAAGAATTTTGGTTTACCATGTTACAATTTCTTGAAGAAAATTAATAATGTTGTCATTGTGATATGTAAATTTGTTCTGGTATTGTTGGTCAAATAAGTACGAGCTATTTTATACATTTCCTCCAAGGTTTATATCTTCACATTGTATTTCGATTGAGGTAAAGGGGATGATTAACTTACTTCCCTCAAATACTTGATTTTACATTCCTTTAGTATTATTTCACTGCTTTAACATAACATGAAAATATGAGTGTTTACTTTAACCATAACCGAAATTATAGTAAATCGTGTATATACTCTAATTATTATTTAACACATATTTTGAAAATAATAGATATACTGCAATTTCATTGTATTAAAGCTGTGTGGAATCAATTAGTAAAAAAAACTTTTTTATCAATTAGAGGGAATTGGAATGAAAATATTTATTGTTTGCTGAAAACAAACAGCCTATCTAAGTCTAACGGATTAACTGTTAGTTCATTTTATCATCACTGACTTCAATAAACTAGTAACAACAAAATCTACCGTCAACATGACGGTGTTTAAATTGAAATATCCTTCAATAGCTAAAAGTAGACAACTTTAGAAACTTTTTTGTACTCACTTAAAGTTTCACCACATAACCACTTCTCAAAGTAAAATCTTATTTTGCTCTCCAATCTTCATACACATAACAAGTATTGATAAATTTCACCTCCCTTGAAAATTTGAAACTTTAAATCTACGCTGCATGGTTAAAGATCCTTACAAACTTTGAATTCCGAAACATTAGACAAGCCATATTAGTTTTAGAAGGAGTTTTCTACTGTACTGAGTTTTGCAATTACTTTCGTAAAAGTTAAACGTACCACAGAGTTTAAGTAGCCTATGACATAAGCCCTAAGGTATTGTAGCATTTTCTTGGGCTACTGCATACATTTTAGTTTAGTGACGAAGTCTCGCGCTACAGTTTTTTTTTTTTTAATTTCTTGAAGTATTCAAATTTCCATCAGCTATTATTGTACTATTTTATATAGTGTTAAATAGTTTGACTCTTATACTCTAATTTTATGAACTCTTAATTTTATGGTTTTCAACTATTTTTTTGGTTATTTTTCGTTGTAGTAAAAATAGATTTATCACATTTCAGATTTATTAACTTTCTTAAACTGTTGTATTCGATTCTATATTATGTTTTCCAATACATAGTGGGTTTAGATTCATATTACTGTACTTAAAGATTTAGTCCCTTTGTTAAAGTTTTACGATATATGCAAATATTATTGATTAATGATTTTTATTTTTTCATCGCATGTAGTTTGTCAAGTGAATCTTCATGACTCATGATTACATTATATTATCGACAGATGCTTTAAAAAATTCATTTAATTTTGTTTAGATTTTTGGAAACCTTCTATTCACTTTCGTAATTGTTTATGAACTTACCTAACAAAGGGATTAAATTAAGATTCAGAGCTATGCAGAAAGTTATCGTAGTTTATCAAACATAACTCTTATAAATGGATAAAGTTAAACGAACGTTACTGCTAGACTGTTTCTAAAGTAAGGCCAACTTATAATAATTATAGCACTTTCTTCAGTTTGCCACCACAAACATACCTAAATTAAGAATAATTTTTATCTTCATAACTTTACGGTAAAAATTTGACTTCCTTGATTTTAAAATTGTTTTCAAATATTGTAATTATTTTTTCCAAAAGTAGCTTTATTTTTCATACGACAGTGTCCAAAAAGGAAAATTAAATCAACCCTATGGTTTGAATTCTGATGGGTAAAAAATGAATTTTGAACAAAGCAAAATCTTAACTGCAAAACATTTTAATTGAAATAGGTAGTGATCATACGAAGGTAGGTATTTTAAGACTAGGATGCATGGAGATGAGTGTAGAGAATGAGTGATACGTTTATTAATTTCTATAAAAAATCATTTGAAACCAAAATATACTACTCCTGATTTGTCGTAAATTTCTGTGATTTTATTTTCCATATGTGATAAACATTGGTATGTTTTCCAATTAAATTCTATAAAACGTTTTAGACCTTTATAACAAATAAACATATAATCTTCCCAAAATTCATTTAGTGCTAATTACTATTATCCACTATTAACTTGAACTTTTAAAATCTGAAAAACTAAACAAAAAAGTGTAATTGTAATCATAATTTTTTTATCATTTATGAACCCGCAATAGAAACATCCTGGTTTTTGTAAAACTAAGTTGTAGGCTATTCGCTACTAAAATGAATAAACCCCCAAATCAACGAGTGATCCCTCGAAACAGTTCAGATGAAAATCGATAACCGATAACATCGATAACAATCGATAACAGTTTAGTTGAAAATCAATAACCATGAGTTCGTGATATATGTCAATCGCTACCATTGACTATCGAAACATTAAAACTAATCGCTATTCATACCCAATTTAACCAAATTCAAACAGTGCCCACGTGTGGAGATAAGTTACGGGCTTTGTACAGCGACTTGTCGCATTAAGCCGCAAACTAGTTTCTTGGCGGCTCGAAAGGTCAAAGAACATATAGGTGACCACGCCTAAAGCCTGCTTCAATGGGCTGCGGCTTTACGCGAATAAGTGGGCCTAGGTGTGTCCCAATAGCAGGATATTGTCCATATTTCAGGGGTTTTGGATATAATTTAGGCATTTAGTAAAGAAATGTGCAGCAGCCTTTGATTTTAGTATTTGGTTGTAAAGTTTATGCCAACTCACACGAAACGTTGGCAAGAATATATTTACTTGAGTAGAGTCTAATTGTATACAAACAAAATAAAATGAAGACAAAACTTTCAAATGATCATGTGAGTGGACCTTCTATTCCACCATGAACAGAATACCTTTAAAAGGCATAAATGGCGTTAAGACATTTAAACCAAAACCACTCCTTTTATCTATGCCAAAACGTAAAATATTTATCCTTCATTAGCTTGGCTGACAATTAATTTTGTTCAGAACTGATCATTCTTTTGAAGTTATGTCAACAATAATTTACCTTTTTAAAGGTTCCTTTAAAAGGATCTTTTTTATTGAATGGTTTGTAACGCCAAGTTGTCAGAAATGCGTGGAAAATATAATTCTAAAATTCTTTGCTAAATTAAAAATATATTTTTTTTTATTTCCACTAGAAATATTTCAATAGCCGCTCTTAAAATCTGAAGATAATTTTCGATCTAATTTACGAGTACCATGACCCTGAGGAACCTGTCCGTCTGTTATTCTGTTGTACGAAAACTACTTGAACAAATCAGCAGAAATGTTGCTCCAAGTTATATCACAGAATAGCTATAGATCTACTTACCTTTGCGATCCTTAATCTCTACCTCCGGACTTTCAAAATTTCAAATAGTGAGACAAGATTCTTCTGTGACCTAAATAAAACTCGCATTGTTAGTTGGTAAACTCTTCCACGAAACCCAAACCGGTTAAATTGCAACAATAAAATTGTATAAAGCTAAGTGGTCCAAATTACTTCCGATAACAAACACTAGGTCATTGCAAGCGTGTTAGGTTTAAAATAACCACACTTTTCAATGTCTGCAATCCCAACCATTTTGCATTATGTGTAATTTTACAGTACGGATATAATAAGGGATGTAAAGTGTTGATGTGAGATGCACGAATATATAACAATAGTGGTGTTTTTTTTCAATATTTTTCCAAACTCTTAGCTATAGCACTAACATAACCATTGAAACCCGCGAACAAATCGTAATCTATTCCATCTGATTACCACCGCTAGATGCCCGGATATGTAGACCAGTGGCGGGCGTAGGTAGAATATTAGCGCCCTCATGCAAGTAAACATACACCAAACCCACGT